AGAAATAATTTCAAAGCTTTATTTTATACAGATGTATACGGAGATTCTCATGTATTTAAGGGTTATAGACAGAAGCAATAAATAAAGTTAGTTGACCCTGGGGATGAAAAATATAACTTTGTGTGGAGGGGAATAGTATCCCAGTAGTACTGGAGGGGAACATATAGCCGGCATTTTACCCGTGTGCCCAAATGGAGTACTTTAAGATTGCTCAAACTGCCATGAAAATCGGTGTACAGAAAGCCTGCTCAAAAGGCTGAAATAGAATGGAGGGGTGATATCAGCAAAGCTAATTCTCAGCTCAGCCACAGCTCAAAATTCATAGTCCTATTATGCAGAATGGTAGTAGTTGATTAGCTCACCTAAAATAAAAAAAAAACCCATACGGTTTTCAAGTTTATACTCCAGGACGCACCAGTTATTTTCCAGAGCACAGAAAATGACCCAGAAGTTTTTGCTCTTTAGTCCCAAGGAATAGAAATCTAGGTGAAGGAAATTCTTAGTGAAAGTGCCACTTTAAAAGCCTTTTTAGATACTGCTATTGGGGAAATTACTGCTAAATGCTAAGCATTTTCATCTATTTTATGTGTTTTAAGCAAAAAGAAAGAAAATCTTGGCTGTTTAAAATCCACTAATGACAAGCCACCTCGTGGTTATGGACTCTCTCCCTTGGAGCCTGAGCATGGCCTTAGACTCTTTCTCATCACAGCACACCTGGCAGCCACTCCCACTACCAGTGGATGAGAGTTAGCACTGAAGATAACAGCCTGCGAGCCATTCCTGCCTTAAAGGTTTGATGCATTCATATGCACAGATCTGCATATGTAAATATTACAAACAAAGGCCTCAGTGGAGTCCAGTCATCTCTGGAGAGTAAGATATAATGCTGAGATCATCATTATCATGGATTATTGCAAAGCCTCCTAAATGGGTCTCACACTGCTACTGTTGCCCCACTCTCCTACAGTCTGTTCGCAACTTTTACAACATTAGTCATATCATCTTATTCCTTTCCTCAAAACTCTCCGTAGGTGACCCTTTCACTTGGAGTAAAAGCTCAAAACCTTGTAGCAGTTTACATGGTCTGGCCTTCCGCCATCACTCTGACTTCATCCCCTAATTCTCCCCGCTTTGGCCAGTGTGTTTCACGCAGGCTGGCCTCTGTGCTAGCGCTGTAACATGCCATGCCAGATGGACCCCGGCTTCTGGCTTTACACAGGCTGTGCCTCTACCCGCAGTACACTTCTTCCAGCTGTCCGCGTGGCCTCTCACTGACTTCTTCATGTCTTTACTCAGACGTCCCCTCTTGGTGTGCCCTACCCTGACCACCCTCTTTCTAATTGCATCCCAGCCTACCCTTCTTCATTTCCCTTCCCTGATTAATTTCTTTCTTTACCTCTCTTATATTAAATAATTTTTATGTTTTTAAATTGCCTTTTCTGTCCTCAGCTAGAATGTCAGTTTCATCAGGGCAGTGCTTTATTCACAACTGTATCCCCAGTGCCTAGTGTAGATGGTTTATAGTTAGTTGTCAATTATTTGCTGAATTGATGCATGTGACTCACTGAATTAATAACAGCTATGCCCACAAGGACTCAGGGAAGTATAGACATGAAATAGGTGCTGAGAAAATCCTGATCTATGCAGTTTCTACTTGTCTTGTCTAGTGTGGAGACTTGCAATTTGTGGCTTAAAAATGATAGTTATTAAACCACTTTTATTTCATGATAAGTACCCTCAAAATCCTCTAATGGCATGAATTCCTGTGAAAAGCTAAAGAAATGAGAATTAAAAATGGAAAAGCAGGACATAAAAATTTCTTACTCATAACATTTGATACCGGAGTTTGTTTAAAATAATGATTACTTTCTTGACAAGTATAAGGACTTTTTCTTTTGTCATAAGAGACTTTGTGAATTAGGTAAATATATTTCTTCACTGTTTTCCACCACCTAACAGTTTAGAAAGATGAGCTGTAGCAGGTGTTTTTTTCCTCCCATGTTAAAAAAAAACACTTCTCTATATGCAAGATGTTTCTCCGCAACTCAGCCCAAAATACCTTTCTGCTACCGTTTCCAAAACTAGGTATTTAATATTAATGTGTTTCTGCTTTGGCAACAATGAAGATGAACTGCTATTTGTGGTGTGGGTTTTGCTTCTGTCTTTTGGCTATTTAGTGTATAGAGGTATCAATATGAAGAGTTAATGGCGCTTTAGAAAATAAGCAGGAGTTTAATCTTCATTGCTCCTGATTCAGTGTTTCATCAATATCAAAAGACCTAGCACTGGAAATGAGATGGTACATTAATTCTGCTGCTCAATGGTTTATAAGTTGCTATAGAAATTAGGCTTCTGCTTGTCAGGATTAGGCTAGTATCCAGAAAATAAGAGTACAGGGAGAGTGAGAAAAATAAAGCTCAGAGGAAAAATAAAGGAGAGGAGCAAAAAGCAAATTAATAAAATTTAAACCAAAGGCATGAATGTAATTTTCATCTACAAAGTGACTAAAAAGCATTTTTTTTCCTCCAGGCAAGCCAATAAAAAAGGCAAACAATTTAAAGAAAAGTTCATACTTATAAAGTCTCTCAAATAAATACTTAAAAAAAAAGAAATGAGGAGGAGAGAATCAAGAAAATCTGTGCCTGAGATTCTATGTTTTGCCAATAAAGTATACAAAGTGGTTTTATTTTAAAAGAACATACGGTGAATAATTGCAACAGTTACTGAAGTCTTCATTGATAGAAATAGCTAAAGACTGTTCCTGTAAGACCATGCTCCAAGGAACACCAACCAACTCAAAAGTTTTGTTTCATTTTGGTACTCAATAGATACAGTTCATTTTTACCATTTTTGCTGTTTTGGAAAGGGAAACCTGAGGATGCAACGTGACATCTACATACGCTGAATATATACGGACAAAACCAAGAGATGGGTTACAATTGTCCAAAGGATTTAGGTCCCAAAGAGTCATTGTGTGAAGAAGGATAGTTATAGTAAAGAGAAAGGTTTGTAAAATTATTTGTCTAGAGAAGCTCAATTTATCACATATTTTGTCCCATGTTTTTTTCAAGTGGGTGAACACTGATTGCAAACCCATGTGCCAGGCTCCAGGAGCGGCTTCTGTGGGGAGGGCTGTGGGGAGGACAGGGTGGCCTGGATATTTGACTTCTCTGAGATCCTGTTTCATTAATTCTAAACTAGGAATAAGTGTTTCTACTTTTAAAGGTTTTGCAAGAGAACTAGAGATTAGGGATGTAGGAGGCTAAGCATGCTTTCTGGTGTAAGTTATTTTATCTTTTCTCGTTTTTCCAGAAGGCACAGTTCCACTTGCTGCCAGTTGGTCCTAAGCCAGCATAATGTTGTCGATAAATGCAAGGACTCTGATGTCACACACTCTGTCTTTTAATGCTGTGCTACAACTCCATCCATTCGGCAGACATGCATTGCCTACCCACTGTGTGCCATCACGGTTCCAGCCTAGGGTACAACAGTCAACAAAGATACGTGCCCTCGTGGCGCTCCCCTTCTAGCAGGGGAAGAAAAAAATAAACATAATAAATAAGTACGTTATACAGTGTATTAGAAGGTGATAAATGCTATCTAAGAAAGTGTGATAATGTGAGAGAGGAAAAGAGGAAAGAGAAAAAAGAGGAAGGGAGGAAGAATAGTGAATAGAAGAAAGTAAAAGGGATGAGGATTTGCAATTTTACTCATTAGTTACTTATTATCCTCAACCTTAAGCACATTGCTTAACGCCTATGGCCTCAGTTTCTTCATCTGTAAAATGGGGAAAGTAATATTGCCAAAATGATATTGCCAATAATAGAATTGCTTTGATGCTTAAATGAATTATTCCCTGTATAGAACTAAGAACAATGCCTGCCACATACTAAACATTCAGTAGGCATTGGTTGTTATTATTATTGCTATTATTAGTAGTAATAGGATTTAGGAAAATATGGCCAGTGTTAATTATATGAGTTGACTAAAATGTAGTGTACCAACTTCACTGTTTTCAGGCCATTCTGATTGTCTAATTTTCACTGTTTCAAAAGACTGAAAATGTTAAGTGAGCTGTCCTTGAAAATTTCATAGCCAAGTAAAATTTAGATAAACCATGTGAAAGAAATTCTGTACAGACAGTCAGAGCACACCCAACAGTTGTGTAGTTGCAGTTTATTTACATGCAAGCAGTCACAGAGCTGCTAGGAAGCTTTAATAAGCAACAGCACCGCTGTAGAGAAGAAAATCAATGGCAGTGTAAATTGTGTATTGGCAGAGAAAAAAGATCCCCTACCAATCAGTTTCTGATTCTCTCATGATGAGAGAGCAGTTTCCCAGAAGCAAAGTTTTCTCCCTCAAGTGTATATTTTCCTTAACTGCCCATCATGATGTAGGATTGGGTGTCAGAAGGACCTAATGACAGGGAGTAAATAACACCTGGGTTTCTATTACATATTTAGCCTGTCTGGGAAAGAAAACAAGCAAGTGAGAAATACTTTTATAATGACTTTTTTTTTTTCCTACTGATTGATTCTACTGGATAGTGAATTTGTCTGGATTACCTCCAACCAACTAAAATGGGATGCTGGTTTTTCTGATTGGTTTTTCCATCCCTTGTCAGGGTACTGCTGCAGTGCATAAGTGAGTCAGGGAGAGGCAGCAGGGGAAGAGAAGAGTGGGCAAGAGTAAGACAGTAGGAAGCTAATCCAGGCCAGCTAAAGAAGCACAATGAAAACGGTTAGAGCAGGTTCAACTGACCGACACAGCTAATCAGCCCCTGAGATAAGTGGAGGTAAAATTTGGAAACTCAAAAATCCCCAGTCAGGTTCCTCAATCTTTATTATTTTTATAATAGTAAAGTGAAATGATCATTTCTACTTAGTTTGTATGGGAAATATTTTATTAATAAAGAAATTTTTATAATTAGGTTATACATTTTATGTTTTAGGCAGTGGTTTGTAGGACTGTACTGGCTTTTTTTTTTTTTTTCGCCTTAACAGAGGCACTGGGGATTGAACCCAGGACCTCATGCATGTCAAGCACACATTCTACCACTGAGCTATACCCCTTACCCCCTGTATTGGCTGTATTTTAAAGTGTCAGACAAAAACTTAAAATGGTTTAATAAAAGGAATATATTGATCTGTGTAACTGAAAAGATAAGAGGGATTGGCTTCAGGTAAGGTTTGATCTGTGGTGGTGATCATTTTGCAACATACAAGTGTATCAAATCAACACTTTTGTACACCTTGAACAATGTCATACGTCAATACATCTCAATAAAGCTGGAAAAAAATAAGATAGACTTCAAGTAAGATTTGATCTAGCTGTTCACAGAGTGTCACTGAGAAGTTATTTTTCCCCTTTGTCTTTCTATTGATCATCCATAAAATCAGCTTCATCCTCAGATATGTCCACTCACACCCAACAACTCTAATTCTCTCTAGCAGCAAAGTGATACACAAGTTACAGACGTCCCATCCCCACATAGTACCATCCAAAAGGGCAAAAAAGTGATTTCTTCTGGTTGTTTCTACATCATATATTCTGGGACTTGCTTTTACTCTGTGGTCCAAATTGGTCTATTACCTGTTTACTATGTCCAGGAGACTAGATTCTGATGTGTTACATGAGAGATTAATCCCACCCAAACCAAGACTGGAAGAAGAGGGCAGTTTCCGCATAAATATTAGATTACTGTAGACAAAGGAGAAAGAGACAGACACTGGGAAGGCAATTAAAAAATCCTTCTTAAGGCCTCAATCCATCTACTACTAAAAACATTTTATACGAGAGTGATCAGTATCAGCGTATTCACAAATAATCTTTGTAACTGTGAACTGTTTTTCAGGAGGCCAGATCATCAACTACTTTAAATGCCATGCCAAGAAATTTGAGATTTTTCTCTTGCTATTTGGGATTTTGAAGGATTTAAATCAGGGAATTAACATGCTAAGGCTTTACCTTCTTTACAGAGGTCAGAATATTTTTATACTATATACACATGTGCCTGCACACACACAGGTCTCGAGTTTGCCACCGTGAGCATGTCTTTTAATAGCAAAGGAAATCGATAGTATGAGTGAAGTCAGTTCCTAGAGGACAAAGCAGAGTGGGACAAAGAACAAGGCCATGCATTTGTCTTCTGAGGAATCTATGAAAAAACACCCCAGTTCAACAGAGACAACCCTCAGCTTACTTGAAGAGAAAACACTGATAAAATGATACAAGAAAAGTGCAAGATCACTGTGATTTTTAAAAAAAATTCCTCATACCCTGGAGCTCCCCGTAGGCTTCGATCTTTAACCTTATGCGTGAAAAGAAAAAACACTTCTCAGGGTGAAACACTGTTGTCCGACTACTGGGATTACTCTTCGGTCGCTCTGTGAGACAAATGAGATCAAAACTAAAAAGGTATACTGAAAACAAACATAACAAAGCACCATAACCTACTGAAGGAAACAAAAGGGCTTCCAGCAAGGGCTTCACCTTGTACCAGCCCTGCTTCTCCTGAAAACCACTCCCCTGCTCGTCTGCCATCAAGTGCAGCCAACTTGGCAAAAGTGACTGGACTCTTTCTCCTATAAATTCAGGAGACAGGCGTCGGTAAAAGGTGAAAGGAAATCCCAGCGAAACGGGGAGGGTGGCAGCCAGCCATGCTGCAGGCGTAAACAGTACCATTAGAAGGCAAGAGGCATGGACTCAGAGAAGGCAAGAGTCGGGAAATGCTAGCTTGCCTTCAGCGTTCTGGCAGCCTCCGGGGAGACAATTAACGCGGTGTCACCAAAAGCAAACCTCAGCCTTTGACCAGTCCCTGTGAAAGGTTAAAAAAAAAAAAAAAAAAAGCTTTTCATACACGGTTGTCAAGAATCCTGCTGAACAAAAGCATCTGCCAAATTTTCAGCCCCAAAGATGGGTTTCCAGTGAAAGTCAACAAAATTCGCTGCTAAAACACACAGGACAGCAGTCTTTGAAATATCTGCCAGTTACTTGGTGTTGTCAATACTAAACAAGGCAGCCTTTTTCTGTCTTTTTTTTTTTTTAACACTTTAAAACTGCACAGGTTAGGCAATTTCTTAATATAAGGAATGCTCACCAATAGCCTTGGTTAGTGTTAAAGTTGATTCATAGGTAATAGTCCTCTCAGGGGACCTATCAAGCAGCTACTCGGCCACACTTGCTCATTATCGACACACCAGGGTGAGAGAAATAAACTTACAATCGCATGCAAGAACATGCATTAATATTTCACCTTATACTAATTCAGTGCGTTCCCCAAACCACCCTTAGTTTAATGATTCTCTCGAAGGACTCGCAAAACTCACTGAAAGCTGTAGCACTCATGATTCCTGGGCATTACAGCTGAAAGATACACGTTAAAATCAGCCAAGGGAAGGACGCAGGGCAGAGTCCAAGACCGGTTCCGAACACGGACCTGCTACTGTCCTCTCCCGTGGAGTCAAGACTGAGTTACTTTCCAGGCGTTGATGTGTGACAAGGTGCACTGGAACTGCCAACCGGGGAACCCCACCCGGACCTCGGTGTCCAGAGCCTTTAATGGGGCTCCATCATGTAGATTCAGCTGACTGCCCATTTGATGGATCTCATTTCCCAGCCCTTCAGAAGACAGAGCTGATACCATATGAAGCAAAGCCCCCACCCTAAATCACGCTGTTGATGTGGATGAAAGTCTTCATGCCACACTGCTACTACCTGGGTGGCCCAAGATCCCCAGACAGACAGAGACCTTCCTCTCAAGCATGGCGTTCCCAGAGCTTAGAGGTTGGTCTCAGATGCCAGGAGCAAAGGACACACCTGTTTTTGGGTGAGGTTAAATTCCTTACTACACACCCAGTAAAATATGAGTGGCCGTATATATGTTTTTAATTTTAATTTATATTGTCGTAACCAACAGATCAATGCTAGAAAAGAGAGAGATGAGAAAAGAATGGACTCTGAAATCCGTTAAAGCTATTAAAGACCAGTTTGGTCTTCCCCTTTTTTTCCCCCTGCCATTCAATTATAAACAAGTCAAGTGATTCATATTTTCTCTAAGTAGACCAGGTTGATGTAAGAAAAATTTTATAAGACATTATATAAAACATGACATGTATCAGGGTGTATAAAAATTCTTTAAATAAAAATATATTTTAAAAAGGCCTGGAAAAAATAGTAAAACCATCTTACTACAACTACCAGGCAAAACTCTCAAAGGAGAAACTGAGGTTTATAAATACCAAATGCATATTACTATGAGACAATTCTAAATGAAGTCTCATGAATTGAAGCCTAAATACTTGAACAAGTGAACATGAATGAAATGAAGAATAATTGACAATATTGCAGTCTCTAGAGAAAAACAGTATGGGAATAAAAATGTAGCACTAAATTATTAGAATATAAAGTGAATAAATTAGATAATATCAAATTTTTATCAGAAAGGAAGGGAGGATATAAATGGTTAAGTGAGCTTGGTGATAACATCTTGTATTTCAAATTTTAGGCCAGAGTTTATTTTTCTGACCCAGTTAAGAATAACAATATTTTTTTAAAAAGATGTTATTAACAGTGTTTCATTCCTGCTTAAGCAAATAATTGTGAAATCTCTTATGTGACTTTTAAATTTTTAAATTGAACCCAGACATGCTGGAGTAATGCTATAGCTTTTGTTGTCTTTGTTTTAACATCTGTAATTTTGAGCAGTAGTATACGTAGGGAAATATCATTCAGACCACTTATTACATACCCAAGAAAAAATTACACAAAATTACACATTGTCAGCATACAAATATATCAAGTGTATTCTATTCTTGTCACAAAAATCTCAGTTTGATGTAGCCAGTTCTCTATTTTTCCTTTCTATTTGGAAAAGCTTTGTTTAGTAACACAAACTTAGAATATTTTTCAAACTCCCTCTTAACTTCTTTGGAGAAGAGTCTATCACTCGGTTGGTTTCAGGTAACATTTGTGAAATACTTACTAGCTAGTGTTAAAAATAACATAGTTTCATTTTTTAAAATCATAAGTCATTCAACTATCTAGAAAAATATGGGGCTTAATATAAAATCCATGTACACACCAATCAGGCTTAACAAAAGCTAATGTTTATTATTTGCTTCCCATCTCTTGTTGTGGTAGAATTGAAGTCCCTTTCGTTCTGTTCTCCTGAACCCCCCACCAACCTGAATGTAGGATGTAGCTTTACCAACTAGGTTTTTATGTGCCCATAAAATATATATATTTGGGGAAATTGAGTTTTTAAATTTTACATGTTCTTTTTCCTCCTTACCTAAACTCTGTTTCTTTTTTTCACATTTTTTTCTCTGTTGACTTGGAAGTTATACATTTATATTTCATATTTCCATTCTTTTCATGGTTTCTCTGACATTTTAATATGCGGAGTTAACTACAAATTTTTCTAATTTGTTTAAATTTATTCAGTAACCTTTTCCCAAACAAGGCAAGAAACAGTATGGTCTATTTTTCACTGAGCAGCCTCCTCTCCCATCCTGATGTACACACACAGCCTTCCTAGTGCTGGTTTTAATTTTTATTTTGTTATTTAGTCACATAAATACACACACATGTGCACGCACAGACACCTACTCACTGTTTTCTTTCTTTCTTCACAAGTTAATTAACTTTACTAAAACATACCACTTCCTGCATTCACCATTGTTTCTTTCTCCTCATCTTTCCCTCTCAGTTAACTTTTCTTTTCTTAAAGTACATTTTTTTGTTCTCTCGGTGTGAGTCTGTGGGTGGCAAGCTTTCTTACCCTAGGTATGCCGGAAAAATTGTGCAGGGTTTTTGAATGATAGCTGTGTTAGCCCAAAGGGTGGAATTGTCAAAGTACATTCATGCACATTACAGATCTTACCCAGCACCATACTTTATTCATGAGTCAAAGGATATGGGCACGCAGTAGGCTCGGGCAAAACATTCATTTCCTGCAGGAGCTCAAAACCAACTTATTTGCCTTCCAACAATGCTCCTTTCTCTACTTTAGGATGTGTTTTCATTTCAGATAAATAGAGTAGTGTTGAACAATGTATGCTAAATTGTTCAC